GGCCAACTTCAGCACCTCCTGGACCAGTGGCTTGGCCCTCTGCGCCCTCATCCACCACTTCCGTCCAGACCTGGTGTGAGTGCCTCGGAGCCCCAGGAACCCTCCACCCTGCAGAGCCCACCCTGATGGCAGCCGTGTCTCCCCACAGGGACTTTGACTCTGTGGATCCCCAGGATGCCGTTCAGACCCACCAGGTTATGCTGGACATAGCAGAGCAGGAGCTGGGCATCCAGCCTGTCCTCTCCAGTGCTGAGATGGCCACCATGACAGGGCCTGACCATCTGGACCTCATCACCTACCTCAGCCACTTCTATCAAGTTTTCAGGAGCTCTCCAGGTGTGAGATTTTGGGGGGATTTGTCCCATCCTGAGCCGCACTGGGGCTGGCTGGGTGCTCTCCTCTTTGTTGGGTGGATCCCACCAAAATGGCCATGCCCTGTGCAGAGGTGGAGGTCAGCAAGAAGCCACTGTCTCCCCATCACACTCGAGGGGCTATTCTCTTCCTCAGCAAGCTGCAGAAGAGCCGGAACCTGGCACAGAAACGTGCCCAGGTGAGGGACCCTCACCCAAACCCTCATGACACACCAAAATCCTGTCCCACTCCTCACCCTAACCACCCCCTTTGGATTTGCAGAACAATGCCCAGAAGGACACTGAGGCCAAGAGGAACCGCAGGGACGCTGAGGTGGGTCTGCCCCAGGTGCCCCACAGGGGGCTCTGCTGGGGTGTAGCTGTCCTGGGGGGAAGAGTGTGGGGCTGACCCTCCCCTCGGGTCACTTGTAGCAGGACACGGGGCTGGATGGAGACACTCCGGACAGTGCCCACGAGGTGCCACAAACCAGCGTGATGGACTCAGGGCAGGTTGGTCCTCGTGTCACCTTGGGATGCAGGGTCCAGCTCAGGGCAGCTGGGCACCGGGGGAGCACCAAGGGCTGGCAGAGCCAAGCCAGGGGCTGGGATCAGGGCTGCACAAGCGAACGCCCACAGGTTCCCAGCTCCTCCCTGCCTGTTTCCTGACCCAACTGGTTTTCTGGAGCCAAGACTTGCCACTCCCTCACCCATCTCAAGCACCCAGAATCAGCGCTGCGAGAGGGGCAAAGCCCTCCCCTGTGCCCCCATGGCTGCTGGCACAGCCACAGGGCAGGGCAGGTGCCAGGCCCCCGGTGCCACCCCAGCCTGTCCTTTCCCCCCGCAGCCTCCGAGGGAGAGGACAGGGGAGAACAGTGATGCCTGCTACATCTGTGGCTGCCGTGTCTACATCCTGGAGCGAGCCAGCGCCGAGGGACGCTTCTTCCACCGCAGCTGCTTCCAGTGCCAGCACTGCGGGGCCACCCTGCGCCTGGGCGACTATGCCTTCAACGAGGAGGATGGTGAGGCGGCTTTTGGGGAGAGGGAATGCTTGGGGCACGACTTCTCCACCTTGCAGGTTGTCACATGAGCTCGCCCCCCCCTTCGCCCAGGTCATTTTTACTGCTCGCTGCACTACCCCAATCCACCCAGCACGGACCTGCCCCGGGATGAGGCTTCAGCACTGCTTGATGGGGTAAATCACCCTAAATCCCTGTAGGTGATGGAGGAAAGGCAAAATGTGGAGGGGGATGGTTGGGTGTGGCCCTGTGCTGCATCACCCCTCTGCTCTGGCTCTGCTGTAGGATGTTGATGCTGCTGCCCACCCACCCTCAGATGCTGGATGCTCATGTGTGTCCCCCATGGAGTGGGCACCCAGTCCACTTCAGCCCACTCCAGCAGCCCCACAGGCAGGGGAAGAGCCTGGGGAAATTGAGGACACTGCAGATGTTGGTGACATGGAGGAGCAGGAGCTGCTGGCACAGCCTGGGAGGGATGTGAGGGAAGAGGAGGTTCCCAGAGTGGAGCCCCAAGAGACAGCAGAGGAGGGTGAGGAGAGTGGGGGCAGGAGGAAGATCATCCTTACACCACTGGAGAAGCTCAGTCTATCCACGCTGAACCTCACTGGTGAAGCAGAGCCCAAGCCTCTACTGCATCCAGATCCTCTGCATCTCCAAGCAGCACCTGAGGCCCTCCCTGCCCTGTGGCAAGGACAAGGTGCCTGGAAGGAGGAGGAGGAGAAAATTGACATGGAGAAAGGTGGGTGGTACAAACTGGAGTCTCCAGATGAGCAGAGCTCTCAGTCACTCCAGGACCCTTTTGTATCCCACATCTTGCTCATGAGGAACCAGCCTGAAACAGCTCTTTTCTTGGGCAGATTTGGAAGAGAGTGACAGTGAGGAGGAGGAGAAAGAGGAGGAGGAAGGCACAGGTCTTGGCATCATGAAAGAGCTGGTGAGGATTTTTCCCAAGTGATGGTGGCACCACCAGCACAGGGGTAGCTGGAGCTCTTGCTCCTCTCAGAGGCATTGGGCTCAGCTGTGGTGCCAAGGCAGGAGGTGCCTGGTGCAGGGACTGACCCCCTTGCCATGCCACTATCCTTTCACAGTACCCAGACCCCAGGGCAGAGGAGAAATACCCCACCTGGAAGCGCACATTGGCCCGCCGGGCCAGGGAATCCCAGATGAAGAGGTTCTGCAGAGCCCAGGTAACCCACAGGGGAGAGCCATGCCCCCAACATGGCACTGTACCCTGTTCCCTCCGTCCTGCTGCTGGTGGCCACATGCTGGCAGGTGCTGGCCTGCAGGTGAGTGCTGCCCTTCTCTTACAGGCCATCCAGAGGCGGCTGGAGGAGATCGAGGTGACTTTCCGGGAACTGGAGCAGCAGGGCATCAAGTTGGAGAAGTTACTCCGGGATGAGAATGGTAAGACCAGGGTGGACAGAGCACTGTGACCCTGCAGTGGGGGTCTGCATCCTGCTCACCACTCCCCTGTCCTGCAGAGAGCCTGGCTGACCAGCAGACACAGTGGACAAACCAGCTGCTGTATCTGGTCCAGAAGAAGAACAATCTGATGACCGAGGAGTCGGACCTCATGATTGCGTAAGGCTTGGGGGACGCTCCCTGGTTGGTGTGGGGGGCTCAGCTCACCCCAGTCCCCTGCGAACCCAGTACCCAGCACACCCTTTTCCTTCCCACAGGGTGCAGGAACTGAAACTGGAGGAGCAGCAGTGCCAGCTTGACGAGAAGCTCCGGAGTTACATGAACAAGGAGGGTGAGTGCCAGCATATGCTAGGGAGAGGATCCCTTTGCATGGTGATGGGAGCAGGTATGGGCTTGTGACCTTCCCAGCTCAGCTCTGGCCCCCTGCACCCACAGATACCCTGAAGACAGCTGAGGATGAGAAAGCTGAGCAGGAGATCCTGAAGCAGCTGGTGGAGGTGGTGAATAAGCGGAACGTCCTCATCCAGTTGCAGGAGGAGAAGCGGCTCAGCGAGCTGCGGGCTTGATCCACACAGCCCCAGAGCCAGTGGATCCTCCCGGGGGGACAAGCAGAGTGTGTGTGTGTGAGTCTTGGGCTGAGCATTACTCTGAGCTACCTCTGGAAGTGGCAGTGCCCCAGCTGCCCACAGCTGCCAGCTGCTGCCACAGCAAATCCAGCTCCCTGCTTGCCAAAGTCTGTCACGGAGGGGCCAGACCTGCTGGTGGGTGCCCACATGAGGAGACACCAAGAAGCACTCAGCTTTGGGGTGCTGAGAGGGTGTTCCTGTGCATGGCTGGATTGCCTCTGCCTTGTGCTTGCTGCAAAACCAGATCACAGGGGAGTGCAGAAGTGGGCTGTGGTGGCTCCCAGCAGCAAGGAGGTGACTGGCCACCAAAGGCAGGCCACAGGGCAGATGCCATATGTGCAGGGGCACCTTCCAGAATGGTCCCTTGAAACCACCCTGGGACATCCTTCCCAGCTGAGGGCATCCATCCCAGCCTGTCCATCTCAAGGGACATCTGGCTGTACAAGCTGGGGCCCGTGACAGACAGACTGGGCTGATCCAGCCGCTCTGCACCACTGCTTTTGGATGCCACATCCACACTGTTCCCAGATTCTGCAAGAGACCAGGGTCAGAACCCTACCATGAACCCCTTGGGCCAGGGAAGGCTTTTTTGTCCAGTAGCTCCTAAGGAATTGTGCTCAGGGACAGCACTCTAAAACAGAGGACAAGGGATACCAGGGGGCTATTCCCTCCTTGCCCCTTTGGGATTTCTTCTGCTTGGTGATGCCACACTGGCTTTTGCACAGACATCAGACACCCCTGGAGTCCCTGGCCGTTGCAAGGTGGCCTCTGTGGCCAAATGGTGCTTATGGCAGCCCCAGATGTATTGGGATGGGGGTCCCAGGTGTAGGTTCCTCTGTTAGCAGCACCACCCTGTGCTCAGCCCTCATCCTGCCATTCCCCTCAGCACCTCCTCCAGCCCTGCCTGTGTTTGCACCAGCCCTACAATCCTGCTGCAAACCCCCTCCCTTCAAATAAAGCCCCCCTGACCCCATGCCAAAGGTTAAAATATCGCCTTTATTTTCCATCAGAGTCAGGACTGGTTGCCAGAACAGCCACCAGTGTAAACTTTGAGGCCACCCCAGGCAAGGGGAGCCCAAGCTTCTCGAGCCTTCCAGCTAGGCCAGTGGGTCCTTCCGTGTACAAAAGAGTGTATTTAAAAAGACAGCAATAAAAATCTGCCTCCATCATGGTTCTCACAGCGGACAATGCAATAAATCGGCCCCAAAAATCTTAATTTCACCCAGAAGCAGATGTCAAACCTGCACTACTGCATTGGCTGCAGTGCTGCTCGCTTAAAACCTGAAGTCAGCTAAAAACAAGGATGAAAAAGGGGACATGGTGGGGCCAAGGGGACATAGTGGGACACCCACAGCCTCAGCTCAGCCTTCACTGGGACGCTCCTGCAGGGCCCGCAGTGCCATCCGCATCTGGTCCTTGGTGCCGTGCAGTATCTTCACCTCCATGGTGTGAAACAGGTGGAGACCGGTGGCAAGGACGAGGACACCAAGGGCAAGGAAGGCCAGCAGGCAGAAGGAGAGCTTGGGGAAGGGCTGCTGTGCGCCCAGTCCAGCCAGTGTGCCCAGCACAGCTGCAGCCTGGAGCAGCAGCAGCAGCAGGGCCAGCACGGCCATCCTGCCCCAGGAGTAGCGCTGCCGCTGCGCTGCCTGCAGCCCCATGCCCACCTCTGTCTGTGCCTCTGTCACCACGTCTGCCAGTGCCAGGTCTGTGGGGACAGGGGCTCTCAGCAGGGTGGGACTCCCCATATACCATCCCTATACCCCCCCATACCACCCCAATACCCTTCTCCCCATCCCCACAGCTCTGAAGCGCTCCACAAGCAGCACCACAACATTCCCAAAGAGCTCCACCCAACTCCACCAGTCCATCCACCAGCCCCCCAGCACATAGTGGATGCTGGCAGCAGCCCCCCGACTTACCAGCTGTGCCGAGGGTGGCACCCACAGGCTGTCCCTGCCTCTGGATGTGCAGTGTTGCCATCACGGCTTCATGGTCTGAGAAGGGGATACCCATGCCTGGGGCTGGCCCTGTGGTGGTCTTCAGCTCTTCACACTTCACTGTGAAGCTGGAGATGGCCTGGGTGAGGGGACAAGGGGTCACATCAGTGCTCCATCCCCACCACTCAGGGCTGGTGGGCAAATGCTCCCCGTTACCTTGTAGAGGATGTAGTCAATGCGGATGCCCAGCGGGAAGGGCAGCAGCTCTGACTTGTCAGTGAAGCAGTTGTCAGGGACAAGGGTACAGCCATTCTTACAGCCCTGAGACAAGAGCCTGGGTGGGTCGAGGACTCTTGGTGTGCCTGGGACCCCACTCAGCCCCTCAGCTCACCTCGAAGCGTGTGGCCTCAGCAAAGGCGTCCTGCAGCCCCGTCCAGCCGCGCAGCAGCCGGATTCCCACATCTTCGGGGTGCATGTTCAGGTCCCCTCCCAGCAGCACCACGTCTGCTGCCTTTGAGGTGTGTCTGTGGGGACAGGGGTGGCTGTTCTGCCCTGCGCCAGACTGGAGTGATGGGACCTGCCCAGTGCTCCTCCACCTTATTCCTGACTGGGACTGGTGCAAATGGGAGCTCTCTGGAGTGCAAGCCCCAGGGGCAGGGGTGACCACACACATGTTGGGGACCTGCAGGGGGACACCCCGCAGCTGCTCACCGGATGAACTGTGCCAGCTCCCAGGCCTGCACCAGGCGGTGGGGCAGGTAGGCATCCTTGTCCCGGCAGTACTCAGCGTGCAGCTGGAGAGAGAGGGAAAGGAAAGGGGATGTGATCCCCATGCTGACACCTGCCCTGCTCCCAGACCCCCTGCAAACCCCCCGAACCTCTCCAAACAGTCCCTGCCAACGCCTCTGTCTTTATGTCACCCCCACCGAGGAGAGCCTGGGATGCTCACCCCAATTCAAAACCACATTATTGGTCCCTGCCCTGAGCAATATTTTATTAAATCAGTGAATAGTCCAGGGCAGAGAGCTATGGCTAAAGCAAGGGGACAGTAAAGGAGGGGTATGGCCACTCATTCCCCTCCTCCCCATTGCTCCCCCCATGCTGGGCTCTTCCCTGGGATGCTCACATGCGTCACGTAGATGTTGAAGATGATCCCTGAGATCTTCATTATGACAAGACCAACAGACTTGCCACAGAACCAGTCCCCATGTTGGAGCTGCCCAAGGGGAAGAAGGACAGGTCAGGGCTCCTGAGGCTGTGTGAGGATGGACACCATGGTGCCACATGCGCCCCCTCACTGACCATGTAGGGGTACCCATTCAGTGAGTACTGGTAGAGGAGCGTGTCCAGAATAGGGAACCTGGAGAAGATGCAGAGGCCACTGCCGATCACCCCACTGTGGGAGGGAAAAAGCACAGTGAGGAGATGTGGTTCCCATAACATCTGCCTCCCCCTAGCCCTGAGCCAGGAGGACTCCCCAGACCCCAGTGTGCTCCTGTGAGCATCCCACTGCCCAGACATGGGGTTGTCCACAGCGACAGAGGTGACCTAAAGGACCTGCAGTGGTCTCTGCAAGGGACAAACCCCAAGGACTTGGCACAGCACTGGCACTGCCCCACAGACAGCCCCAAGGGACTCACTTGCCCTCCTCACCTGCGGAAGTAATGGGAGAAGGGGTAAGAGCCTGCTAGTTTCACCTTCAGGCCACTGTAGTCCTGCTCACTCCACACCTGCAGAACAGTGGGATAGAGAATAGTCACGCTCATCTCCCAGGCTGGGAATGGGTGCAGCTGGCTCACAAACTGCCCTCACCTCCTGGAGCAGCACCAGGTCGAAGTGCTCCTGGCGCAGTGTGTCCCCTATGAGCCGGACGCGCTCCTGCCGCCGCTTGCTCAGGTAGCGGATGGCCCTGCCAGACAGGGGTGACAGTCAAAGCCTGGTGGGGACAGAGTGATGGGGGCTCTTGGGGCCCACTGTGACCCGAAACGAGGTAGAGAAAGAGGGCTCCAGTACCAGTAGAAGCAGGATGCAGATGGAAGACAGGAAGGGGAAAGGGCCATGTGAGGACATGGGGACAAGAGGGATATTTGGGGGACAGCTTCTCCTGCCTGCAGAACTGAGGCAGCTCATTCTTTGCTTGGGGTGCAAATGAGGGTTTTTTCTGGGGCTAACAAGCACAGAGGGGACAGAAAGCATCATCCAGCCAAGCACCTCATGACCCTTTGGGGCTGGGAGAGTGGTGTGACCCCAAAATGAAGGTGCTCTCCCAGTGTGGTGCCCCCATCTCCACCCACACCTGGCATGGACCTGGTCAAGTCTGGACTCACCAGCAGTTGAGGTCGAAGATCCGGAGGCGCAGGGTGGGCTCTCCCTCCATCACTTGTTGGGGCTTTGCGGGGGTCAGTGGGCAGCACCGGGCAGAGGGGGGACCTGCAGGGAGTGGGCTGGAGCGACAGCCCCCAGGAGCCAGCGCAGGCTGCAGGACAGAGCCAAGGAGCCAGGCTGGGAAGACGGAAGGGCTGAGTCAAGGCAAAGGGCAGGAAGGAAGGAAGGAAGGAAGAGTGCTCAGGGTGCCCGAGGTCTTTCCCCTCCTTTCCTGCACTCAAGGACCACCCCGAATCCTAAATAGCCCCCATACAGGGATCCATGTACCCAAACCACCCATGTGACCCTACATCCAGTGGGTGGGGACACCGAAGGGCCAGGAATGGGGTACAGGGCTCAACCACTCTGCCTGTCAGTGAGCTGCGTTCCAGGATGGACTTTCACGCTGGTTTCAAAGTGGAGCTGCGAGGCATGGCCGTCACATGGGACACCGTCACACACCTCCCCACTCGGGAAGCCCAGGGATCCTTTCCGGGACTCCAAACCCCGGCGGAGCCAGCAGCTCTGGAGCAGCCCCAGAGCTTCGCCAGCTCCACTTCTCCCCTGCCAGACCCCGTGAGGTTGTCCAGTTTCCGGTTTAGAAGCTAAAAAGAGCAAGCCCGCAGTTCCAGAATGCCGGTGCAGGCAGGCGGGCTCTGCCTGCCCCGGCGGGATTGCCGAGCGGCTCATCCCGTTCCTGAGGCGTGCTAATTAATTAATGCCGGCGGCTTCTACCAAGTCCTGAGCCCCCAGGGGCGCTCCCCGAGGGATGCGGCGGGGACAGCAGCGGGACAAGGAGCGGGACAGCGGCAACAGGTGGAGCGGGGATAGGAGCGGGGCAAGCAGGGGAGAGGGGAAACAGGAACGGGGAAACGGGAGCATCGGAGCTGCAGGGGGAGCGGGGCTGCAGGGAGAACGGGGCCGGCAGCGGGGAAGCGGAGGAGCGGAGTAATGGGAGCATCGGAGCTGCAGGAGGAGAGGAGCCGGCAGCAGGGGAAACGGAGGAGTGAGGCTGCAGGGGGAGCGGAGTTGCAGGCGGAGCGGGACCGGGAGCCGCGGGGCGAGGAACGATCGGCGGGGCCGGGAGCGATCAGCGGGGCCGGGAGCGAACCTGCAGCGGGCCGGCAGCGGCGCTGGGCCGCGGGACTACGCGTCCCGGCAGGCAGCGGAGCGGGGCGGAAGGGGCAGGACCGGGAAATGGGGCCGGGAAGGGTGGAGGGGCTGCGGCAGGGTGTGGTGGGTGTAACGGGGCGCGCCGGGGGTGCGGGAGGAACAGAGGGGTACGGACACACGGGGTATGAGTGCCGGGGCACCGCCAGCAGGGCTTGGAGGGGTGGTGGGGAGTGGTGGGACACACCAGCTCTCTGCCACCCTGTGGGCGCCTAAAAGGTGTTCCTGAACCCGGCGATGCTGCGGGGAAGCACAGGGAAGCATCTGCCGTGGCCAGCCCAACCTCTCCCATGCAAACCCTGCAGCAGTGATAATGACGAGACCGACAGACTTAACGCAGAACCCCGTGCTGGAGCTGCCCAAGAGGAAGAACGGGTCAGGGCTCCTGAGGCTCTGTGGGGATGGACACCATGGTGCGACGTGCCCCCCAGCCCACTGACCGTGCCCCCCAGCCCACTGACCATATAGGGGTTCTCTAGTACCCTACTCTTGCAGACTAGAGCAAAACACAGCTAGACGTGGCATCCTGGTACCCAGAATTTGGATCCCAGGAGAAGCGTTACCCAACCAAGGGGTTATATGGGACATGGCAGCTCTCTCTTTCCTGTTGAAGAAAATCCCAATAAATAAAATATGAACTTCAGAACTGCTTGAGCCAACCCATGAACAAATAATTTTAATGTTTTTTTTCAGCAGACCGTAGTTTTCTCGGAGCTCCAGAGTCTCCTCTCTTCAAAGTTGGACAGATACAGTAAACACAACAAATATATGATACAACCCATCACAGCTGGATTAAAAAAAATACACAAAAAATATAATACATAAAAAAATGGATTTTTAACATTGTGGACTGACGCAGCTCTAAAAATGGTGATTGTAACCCTGGTAAGCTTTACAAAGTCTTTAAAAAAATAAAACAGTACTTCATGTGAAATTCATAAATACACTGGAGGAAAATGGAGGGGCTGGGGGAGTTGAGAAAGTGTCTCTGGGATCATGACCAAAACCCTAAACCCCAGCCAGGGCTGCTGGGGGCACCAGTCTGTGTGCGTGGGGTGCAGTGTGAGCCCTGGGCTCGGTGCAGGCAGGAGGGAGGGAGAGATGGAGAGGTGGAGGCACAAACTGGTCCAGTTAATGAAGAGCTTCGTCCCCTGTCAGGGCTGGGAGTGGGGCACACCTGTGTTTTATGGTGAGGGAGCTTTGAGTTTTCATTCCCAAAATTTTAGATCAGTGAGTGAAACAGAAAAAAAAACCAAAAAAACACCAAACCCAAAAACCTACAAAACAACAAATATGCTACATATGAGAACTTGGCCAGACAGCCCCAGCACAGCCTTGGCATGGTTTGCCAGTGCCTGGCCTAGGATTTTTCCCTCTCTCTTTTCCTCTTCCCCCTCTGCTCACAGCAGCCACCTCAGTCCAGTCCCACCACTGAGCCCTTGGCCTGGCAGGGGCTGGGGTGGCTCTGCCCCACCCCACAGGGATGGGTGGCTTTTCCCAGCATCAAGAGGTCGAAGTCCCCACGCCTCACAGGACAAGTGGCATCAAAGTGGCAGCCAAGGTGCTTTTCTGCCCTGCACCTTGCACTGGCAGCACTGAGCCTAAACCTGTCCTGTCCCCCTCCCAAAAGGGCTGCAGTGCCTCTCAAAACACTCCTGCCCTCCTTTCCACTGCTCTCACTCCCCTGCCAACCTGAGAAACCCACCCAGACCTGGCCACCTCGGCTCTCTGTCCCCCTGCCAGCCTCCTGCCACCCTGCTCCCTGCCACCTCTGTCCCTCCTGCACCCTGGGGTTGCTTTCCCCAGACTCTGCCCTTGCAGTTGTAGCCTCAGGACTGGGCACTCCACCTTGGCTTACTTTGGGATGCAGCCACAAAAATACCTCCAAGCTGACCCCGTCCCTTATCCCGGCACCCCTCCTGTTCTCTGTCCCCTCTCTGTTTCTGTCCCAAACTCTGCACACTGACAGCTTGGCCCTGCATTGCTCAATATATCTTTCCCTGCACAAGTCACCTTCCTGGCCACTTCCCACAGGATGCAGGAGAGCGGACGGAGCAGTTTGGAACAGTCATCGCAGAAAAAAAGGCAAAAAAAGGTGAAGGAGCAACAACAACAAAAAAACGAAACAAGGAAAATGTACATATGTAAAATAAATCACGCAAATCTGCCCTCACTGCTCTTTACTCATGACTCCTCAGCAAGTGACCACAGTGGGGACACTGAGCCTTGGCCACCCCCAAGTACAATTCCTGAAAGCGCACACAGGGCTGGGGGGATCCCCCACAAAACCCAGCCAGAGATGGAGACATCCCAAACCTTTCCCTAAACAAAACACTTCCCGTGCAGGCTGGGAGGGGAGCACCTGGGCACTTCAGAGGGCAATCAGTCTGATTACATACATTGTGTCTTTTCAAAGAGTATTAAAAAGCACTTTCATTTAAAAAAAAAAAAAAGGGGAAAAAAAAAAGAGCCATAAAACCCCATGGTTTGCATTGTCAATGCCCTCATACCTTCACTCCCACTGGTTTCCAGTGCCCCAGCTCAGCATGGAGAAGGAGCATCCCTGGTGAGGTGGCAGCGTCCCCCTGCTGCACCCTGCCCTGCCGTGTGTCCCCATGGGCTGTGCCATGCACTGCTGGCACTGCCATGCCCATCAGTCTCAGACCTGGCACGGTGCTGTGTCCTCCTGGCCGTCAGTGCTCGCTCCTCTCCGTGCAGGACCAGGGCCACTTCAGCTGGGGATGAAAGGAGGGGTTGTTCTCCGCTCCGACGTCCTGCTGCTGCTGCTGCTGGCACGGTGGGATCCTGGCCTTCATCAGCAACACCAAGGGCTGCTCTCTCCCTCTCCAGTGCTGGATGTGGGTTTCCTTTCTCCCTACGCTTCCTTTCCCATTCTTATTTTTTTTGTTGTTTTTTTTTGGTAATTTTATTTATTTATTAAAAAAAAAAAAAAAATTGTTCCTAAGTAGAAAACATCTGCGATCACAAGTCAGTCTTTTTCTTTTTTGGCTATTGTTTTTCTTCCTCCTCCTTCTCCACCTGTCTTCAAATGACTTCTCACAAGGCAACAGGCATGGGTGGCTTTTCTGCACGGCCCCCCCTCCCTCCCCTGCACGCCCCTTGTGCCCCTGCCTGTCCTCAAGGGCCCCTAGTCCTTGACCAACTTGTACACGTGGTGCTGGGCGCCGTGCTCACTGGTGGAGACCTCGAAAACGAAGGCAATGCAGAGCAAGGTTTCCTGGGTATCCCTGTTCGTAACAACCTGTAGCAGAGCAGAGCGTGTTAGGGGAGTGCTATGCCCGTGGGCAGATGCTGTTACCTGTGGAGGGCTGCGTGGGCTCAAGCACAGCCACTTCGCACCACAAAAAGATTTGGTACCCATGGTTTGTGGGGTCACACAGTCAGTAGCACAGCAAATTTAATTGCACCATCAAGATTTACTACCCAGTTTTGGACACGCTGCACAGGCTCAGGAAAAGCCTGAAGTGCACCACCAAAAATTTGTCTGGGGGAGGTTGCATTGGCTCAGGCCCAGCCACTGCATTTGCACTACCAAAAACTGCTACAGATTATTTGGTGAAGTCAAACAGTCAAACTCAGGCACAGCCAATTTAACTGCGCCATGAAAATTTTGCTCCCCATTGTCTGGTAGACTTGTCCAGGCTTGGGCACAGCCACTTTGTTTGCAACACCAAGATCTGCTCCCTGGAATTCAGGGGCTGTGTGGGCTCAGGTACACCCAGGTCTGTGTGGGGCCAGCAGGGTCGATGCAACTGTGGGCTCCATGCTCCTGGTGGGACACCACCCCTGGAAAAGGAGGGGAGGTACCTGCAGGATGGTGAAATTCTCCAGGACACTGTTCATCATGTACTTCTCTGGGAGGTGCTTGAGTTTGTGGATGAAGTTGATCATGTACTCGCACATGGGAGACCGGTGGATGCGGTAGACGAACCGGCCATTCTCCAGCCGTGCATACTCCGTCTGCAGGGGACAGCCAGCGTGAGCAGCTGTCCCATGAGTGGTGGTGGCCAACTGGGACATGGCAACGTCCTCTTCACTCCACCCATAAACACACTACAGGCACCCATGTGTCCTACACCCAGCTCTGGGACTTTCTCCATCCCAGCTGGACCAACTCCAACCCCTTCCCAATGCAGTGGGGCACAGAACTCACCTCCACCTTCTCCACGACCTGCTTCCCAAAGGAGCACACCTTGGTGGAGACTGTGATGGTCATGTTCTCTGCACTGCTGTACTGGCTGCTGACACCATAGAAGGTCCCTGGCCCATCCTGGATCGTGCTGTTCAGATCCGCCTGGAGAAAAGAGGGTCCCATGAGGCACCACCACACCCAGCTCTTGATGGGGATGAGGGACAGCAGCTTCCAGAGCTGCTCAGGATGTTCCTACTCTGCCAGTGGAGTGCCCAAGCCACAATGAGCCTGTGGCTCGAGGATGACCCTCCCCACCCTAACCCTCCCAGCAGCATACCCAAAACTTGACGAGAAAGAAGGAGTTCTGGGGCCCACGCTCATAGAGCTCCTTGAGGCCACCTTTCTTCTCAGGAAATTTGTCGTAGATCTGGCGGATGTCCACGGCCTCCAGCAGCGGGTCGCTGTACGAGGGGTTCGTCTGGCCGATGTGCACGAAGAGGTGTTTGCTGTACTGTAGGGAGTGGGATGGGGACAGCAGCAGGGACAGGTCAAGCAAGAACCAGGTGCCACCAGGCACAGGGATGAGCGGGCACACAGAGGGGACCGTTACCGTTTCAGCATCCCGGGGCACCTCCATGAAGGCGGAGTACTCGAGGAGCCGGAGCTTGGTGGAGGCGATGGTGCGGTCCTGCCAGACCGGCACAGCTGAGGCAGCTGGCGGGAGTGGAGCCAAGGGCTCGTAACCTGGGGCAAGGGGGAGTGACATGGGGACATGGGGCAGCCAGGAACTGGGGTGAGCCCCCCATGCAGTGCTGCTATCCCCACTGTATCCCCCACCCTCCTGTA